ACTGTGTTTGCTTGGCAACCCATGCCCAGGCACAGGAACCCTGGACTAGTTTGTAATGTCTGTGACAACGCTTTGCTTAGCTTTAGTTAAAACACCTACCCAAACTTTGAAAAAATTTGGTTTCTATTACCGCAGGCCCCAAGTATTGAATCCTTTTTCTCTCCATCATGAGAACATGAGGTTTTTTTAAAAAAAAACCCCAAGAAAATAGAAAAAAACCAAAGCAGCAGAACTCTAGTAGCTTCAGCATTCTTAGAAACAGCCCAGACTTTGTATTTAGAATTATTCCAATAACATTGTGGCAGCCCAAAATTCCTGGACAGACCAATTTCCGTGAATGACACAGGTCCCCAACTTGATTCAAATCATTGAAAAAACTCACCTATGGGGTGGGGGAAAAACCCCTTTGCCACAGAGTTTCCCTCCTGTGTAGGAAAATGCCTGTGGAAAATGCCCACTTAAAGTTTATTTCTCCAACTGTGTTGCAAACCCAAAGAGAAGTTCTCTCCCACAACAAAAGAAGTCCAAAAAAAAAATAAAGCCCCAAATGCAACCAGCATGTAATAAGAATTTTATTGAGTACATTTAGAAAAAAAAACTAGAGCATGAAGACATGAGATTAATTTCTGCATATAAGTTTTATGAATGTGCTGAATCAAGCAACCATGCAAAGAGACATTTCCCCCCTTCAACTGTAATTCAAGACTCTTGTAACGGCAAAATTATTACCACCTTAAAACAGTGTCCCAGACACGTAACTCATTAATTTAAAACCGATCTTGTTCATGAACAGAGATAAAAAAAATTCAAATAGCTATAGGGAAAGACCAATGCTGAACAGGTAGAGTATGGAACCGGTACTCATGCCATGTTTCAAGAATGCAAGCAAAAAATGCATTGTTATGTAGAGTAAGTAGATTTTTTTTTTTTTCAAGGCAAAATTCCTATTAAAACTACCCCCTAAACTACTGAAATGGTGACTTGATAATGTCTGTGTTCCAGAAGACCATCCAACTGAAGTTTTTTTGTCAAGTTACATCAGTGCCAGGTAAAACCTAAGAGGCAGAGGAGCTGAACAGCCCAGCGCTTTACAGTAAATTAACATTAAAAATAAATTCCAACTCTTCCAAGAAATGTTGGGAAAGAGATGACATCCAACGCTCGGTAGCAAAATGGGCTTACACATGATGGAAAAGATTAAAACTTCTGCCACAGGTTTGTTTACCCACACAGTATTTTGCATGAAAAAGGGGTTGTGTAGGAAGTTCTGAGACATGTGAAATGTTGTCTACATGTGACATATAAACCCCCCCGAAACACACTACAGCTTCTAAAGACTCAATTAAAAATATGACCAGGCTATAGCAAGTTAACCAACTTGTTAAACACTGCAGAACTTCTGAAAACATGAAAAAAAAGGATAAATTTCACAGCAACTATTCCAGTACGTACTTGTTAGCAACTTCTTATTGAACTTCACTAGACAGGTGAAAGTCTAAGTGATCAAAAACTGCTTGGTTTAGTTTTCAAATGTTGCTTTTGAGGAGTCCAGTGATTGGTTTGGTGCACTACAGCTGGTCTCCTTTTCACATTTACTAAGAAAAGTCACAGCCAAACCAAAATTCCACTTCTGCTGCCACTAATTGTGTCAAGATGCCAGTTTATGACATACCAGGATCACACATCCACGTGCTGAAGACTGTTCTGAGCGACCGCTCAGAGCACTCAATTTCAGTTACAGAGCTTTTGCAGCGTGACCACAGATGCAGACATCTACTTGTAAAGTCTGCAGAGAACTAATGCAGCTAAACAAGAGCCTTACGGCAGTACGTACCACCTCAAAATTTATCCTTTTACTTTGAAAAAACATCATAGAAAACTAGGCTGTCATATGTAACACTGGTACCTTCTTGCCTGATCAAAGCCGGGTTTGCTTCCTTGCTTTTTTAAACAGCTGAATTTTAAATGTGGTTTTATTGTCACTGATGGGGAGAAGTCACCACGGAACTCCTGAAGTATCTTTAATTTTCTGCTGAAAGCATGAACAACAGGAAAAGAGTAGGAGGAATGAATAAAAAGCCAAACTGAAGACTGTTCAGAGGAGCTTTCCTGCACTTGTGACCAAGCTGACTCAGTTACCAGCAAAATGTACTGTAAAAGGGTATATCAAATAGTTACAGGGTGACAAAGGAGGCAGCATTAACAGCAGAAGGTGGATTCATCCACATTTCTCTCCTTTCAGCATTTAGTATGTAGCAACGGAGAATGACTTACTGAAAACCAGAAATTCTGTTTTCCTATGAAATTCCATTTCCCTTGTAGTTCTCTAAATTGGATTTTGCGTGATGTAAACCTACTGCATGTGAGGATGCAAATAAACTGAAAATACGTAAAAAACCATGGAAAACAAAATATTTAGGGTATTTATATATCCATATGGGTAGACACTTTTGAACTCGCTCGTCAAATAGGAACTTTATCCTGGCATTTAAATACTGCTCATTTTGCTGTCCAAGTTCAGAGTTCTGCACACAAAAGCACAGATGGCCCATACTACCTACTGCTCTCTAGAATTCTTCATTCACTGAAGAGATTGTTCTCAGTATTGTACTAACAAGAACTCCACTTGCTGGTTCAGAACACACCAGGGAACATCTGTTCAATTTTTAGAGGTCCATGTGCAGGCATTCGTTTTTGTAAGCTTGTACCCTATGACTTCACAGCACCTGACATTTTCAGATTTATTTAAAAAAAAAAAAAAAAGGAAGAAAAAAAGAAGGCGTTATTAGAGGTAAATAGAGTCTTTTAGGCAGAACTTAAGAGCTGGAACTTCTCTCGGGGGTCCAAGCGAGTAATCAACCATGGTCCCTCCACGTCAATGAGGAAACACGACCTTGAAATGAAGGTAAAGAAGCACCAAAACAAATTTCATATGTACAGCCCTGCTGTTACTTTCTTGGGGTTTGGGGACGGTTTCTTTGGTAACGTATTTCCTACCACTTAAAGCACAAAGTAGGATGTCAAGTCCTGCTGGAGACAGAACTCTGAGCTCAAGTCAAATTCCACCTCTTAGAAAACACTACAGAAAAATCCTTATTTAACTTCAGAAGGACTTTACTATGCTTTGCGTTTCTGTTGGCGTTATTCCAGGTCTGCTAAGGTGGGGAGATGAGCATCCACACCCTGCAACCCCCCTGCAGCACTGCTTGTTTACAGACTGAAGTTTTGGCACAATAAATAACACTGTACATTTTGCATGACTTTTATACAAAAAAACCCATTGTTTTCCTTTCAGCTGCAACCTAAAATTAAGAAACTGGTTTCAAGCAGAAAGAGAAAGCAATGTCACTGCATGAACTGCAGCTTGGATAAAAGTCTCATCTTTATCCTGTTTTCAACCACAACTCTTTACTGATAGAGAACTGAAAACAAAAATAAATCGATTTCTAATTACAGTGTTTTGCTTATGCTGTTCAAAAGAAACAATATTTTAAAAGCATTTTAAATTCAAAGGTAAAATTGTGACTTGAGACAGACATTTTAAAGCTTGTTGTTTGTTTCTCCTAAGATTTACCCTGTAGACAAATTTAGTTCTTAGATTACCATCCGTAGCAACATGAGCTATGCACAGCTACAACATGGAAGCAATGTTCCTGAGACACCTACAGTGAGCACTGTCTTCTCCTGCTACACACCTCCACCTGCTCTGAAAACAGATTCCCGATTTTGAATGTTGTAGAACAGGACAGAATATACATTCTAAAGACTGTCAAATATATACAGCACCTGGGTAATTTTACAACAGTCTGCTGTCTGTATGTTCTCCATGGCTGAGATACCAAGTTATTCAGCCGTTTCACTGTCCATTCACTTTTATCTTTAACAATTCAAATCGCCAAGGTATAGGAGTAAAAAATAATAATAATAAAAAAAATCCCCTCTTGCCAACTTTATTTCAATCTCATCTCTTGCTTTTATACATGACAAACAGCAAAAGAGTCAGCAAGTACTGAAATCCTTAGCAAAATACCCATTCATTCCATGCCTCCACAGCCAACAGGTATTGAAACAAAGCTTAGTTTCAGGAGAGAAAAAAGGAAGTCTGCAAGTGTTCTTTGGTATTTATGCTAATATGCTTTTTTTAATTCTAGATGTAGAATTGTATTCTATTCCCTTCGTAAACTTGAGATTTTTTAATCTGTATTACTGTATGTTTCATTTGATATGACTCAGAACAGCCCTGAGGAGAGGGACTTGGGGGTGTTGGTGGATGAGAAGCTGGACAAGAGCTGGCAATGTGCGCTGGCAGGCCAGAAAGCCAACTGCAGGCTGGGCTGTATCAAAAAGTGTGGCCAGCAGGTCGAGGGAGGCGATTCTGCCCCTCTGCTCCCCTCTGGTGGGACCTCACCTGCAGTGCTGCATACAGCTCCACAGCCCTCAGCACAGGAAGGACATGGACCTGTTGGAGAAGGTCCAGCAGAGGGCCACAAAGACAACCAGAGGGATGGAGCACCTCTCCTGTGAGGACAGGCTGAGAGAGCTGGGGTTGTTCAGCCTGGAGACCAGAAGGCTCCAGGGAGACCTTATATTGGCCTTCCAATACCTCAAGGGGGTGTACAGGAGAGGGGGGAGGGACTCTATCAGGGACTGTAGCAATAGGATAGGGGTAATGGTTTTAAACTGCAAGAGGGGAGATTTCAATGAGATATTAGGAAGAAATTATTTACTATGAGGGTGGTGAGACACTGGAACAGGTTGCCCAAAGAAGTTGTGGATGCCCCATCCCTGGAAGCGCTCAAGCCCAGGCTGGATGGGGCTTTGAGCAACCTGGTCTGGTGGGAGGTGTCCCTGCCCACGGCAAGGGGTTTGGAACTCGATGATCTTTAAGGTCCTTTCCAACTCTAACCATTCTATCTTTCATTAGGAACAGTGCTGAATGTAATATGTGCTACCCAGTAGATCCAGTCTAAACTGAACACTTGAAAAATGAACACACACAGTGGACTGAGAACACATCTATTTGGACAGTCAGTGCATGGCAGGAGAGGTTATAAGCAAAGGGCAATAGCTCTTTTACCCTAAATCCCCATGGAGACACTCCAACTAGAATAAATACAGTCATGGGAGCAAGAGCCAAAACAGCTATTACCCTTCATGTTTACACCCCCATTTACTGTGCATCAAATTTCTTTGTTGAATGGAACATATGATCTAGCATTAAAAAAAAAAAAGAATCTATATAAAAGTTAAATATTTGATTACAGTAGCAAGTCACCACTTCATAATGGGGAAATAACTTGTCTCTTGGAATCATTATTGATCTGAATTCTCTTTTTTTCCTTGTGCGTTGGATACGGGTAATTCAAGACTAGCCCATAATAGGGGCTCTGCTTTCCTCATAGTGAGCTCAATCTTTGTAGCCGTCATGTTCACATAACTCCTCTTTACATCGATTACCTACAACAGAAAACATATTTCACACTTCAATTTGAGAAACGGACTGCTAGGTATTTGGGAGTCAAGTTGGGACAAGTACCTTATCACTAAGATTTAGTAGATGTTTAGGGAGATGGAGTTCCTTCTTATTTGGAAAAGTCAACCCTCTCCCAAGCTGCAAACATATGCCTGTGCACATGTAATATTTAAGTTGGTCTAACACATATGTAAGCATGCAATTATATATCATCATGTGTTTTCTGCAACACCACTATCATTGTGTTGGGATCTTAGGACAGAAAGGACCTCAGGAGGCCACCTTCTCCTCAAAGCAGTGTCAGCTATGATATCGTACCTGATCACTTGGGGCATTAGACTCAGATTTAAATGTAGGTTACTGAGTAACATGCAACAGAATTTCTTCCAATAAGCAGAGTAACGAGGAAATTACTTTGAAACACAGGAAGCTGAAGTTTTTGTTTTGGTTTTTTTTTTTTAATAGAAAAATTATTCTTATACTTACTCCCCATAATTTCACACTGCGATGAAATTCCTTTTCACCTTCAAATACAATATGGATATTTAACTAAAAAGGAAAAACAACAGAAAATTTTGTCAGGTTAATAAAACATTTGATATTTCAAGCACATTTAAGAAAAACATATCACATTAGAACTCGGATCCTACAATAAGTGATCAAATTGTGCCTCGGACATAGAAGTGAAAATCTATTCTAACAGATTCTGATATAGTATCATAGTCAACAGTGGCCATACATAGAAGCTGCATCATTTTCTCCAAGTGCACGATTAAGAAATCAGAGAAGCATTTTAATGCTTATTTAATATTAGTAGCTGTGAAACTGCATACTGTGAGAAATGATATTAAATTATATTAAGCCAAATACAATTAAATTACTTATTTATAATTACTTACAAACGGTGATGCAAAACCATCACACTTGGGCTTTAAGTCAAACTAAAGTGGTTTTTTTTTTTGACATATTATATTGCAGCTTTAAAAAAAAACCCCAAAGCACAGTTGTCCAAACAGAAGGAGAAAAGACTGCCATATATATGCTTGAACAAACACAAGAGCCAAGAAAAAGCTGTTACTCCAAAAAGATTCTTTTACTAACCCTGCCTTGGAAATAAAGGCAGAAGACAGATTTTTGTAACTGAAAACTGTTGTAAGGTTAAAAAAAATAAATTAAATCTTAAGGTAGATACTCACCATTGTGCTATTTGCTTCTACGTAGCTCAGATCAGGAACAGAGTTTTTAGCATATACAGAAATAGTCACTTCTCCTCCCGTCTGGTGCCAATCATGCCTGCACGGAACTACTTTCTTTCCCTATATGAGGAAAAAAAGACTTAAAATTGCATTCAGAAGTATTTTTACAAGATTAATCAGGTTAAAACCCTAGGACTATTTTAATAGCCAATAAGTATAGCCAATGAAGAGCTATATTTCATGTTTACAGGAGACTGCAAGACTCCGCTTACACCTTTTTAAAAAAAAGTATTTCAGCTACTGGTCCCTGGCAAACATTAGAAATATCAAAGTTCATGACAGAGACTATAGTAAGAAACTCAGGCATCGTGATAGAAAAACAAAACAAAACCACTAAAACCCAAAAGCGACTTGTTGGATTAACTTCCTTTCCAAGACAACAGTTATCCAGCCCATAAAAGAAAGGAACTGAAAAAAGAAAAAGCCGTGACTCCAAGAAACTTTAATATTACTGCAAAAAGTTATTTAGTATTACCCTCTGTTCTCTGATACAGGAAAAATAAGGAATGAAAAACCTCAAAAGAACAAGAAGCAGCCAAAAAAACACTGTTACCTACAAGCCCATTATCTGAATATACACACATTTAATATACACATTTTCTAAACATCTGGGGAAATTCTTTACAAGAATACTCTCTTGCTGTAGGATGACAACTTCAGCGTTTTTTTTTTAATCCCTTTCTGTATTTGAAAATACTTCTCAAACATAAACTTCAAAGCAAGCAGCTATTCCATGACTTATAGGAAGGACCTGCGAAGTAACTGTTATAGAATGAGGTCTCAGAACTACACATACTATAGTATATCTTAATTTTCTTCTGTTAAACATTACTGATATTTGCAGTACCGAACTCATTTTGCTTCAGCAATAGACAATATATTTGTAACAAGAATTTTGTGTTCACTTGCATCCAACATGTGAGCAGCTATTGTTTTTGAAGTGCTCAGTTCCACTACTAGATTCTTAGAGAACATTATACAACGTTTTTAAACCTTGTAATTCTGCAACATTGCAATAAAATACCTACAAACTAAACAGATGCTCACTCTCTGTTTATACTGGCAGCCAAACCAAAGCACTGAAGTAGATTCGGATAGAAAAATATTCAGACATTTAAACTAGACAGAAAGAGACCCTCCCATCTCCACCCATGGAACCTCATTGACCTTCATCTACCCTGCCATGCCTACCTAAACAACTCTACTACTCTGAATGAAACTGGAAGCACTTGTCCTGCTTCTCTCTTTATGGTCTTCGGAGGCGGAAAGACTTCTATTAATTTTATTTTAAGGTAATATATATGGAATATATTCTATATGGAATACCATAAACTTTATTATTTCAGAGGTAGTGATCTGTAACAGCACAACTACAGTAATAACTCAATCAAGTTACTAACTACATTTCAGTATTGTAAATTCAGACTGGCCAGCTACAAAATGCATTGTTAACACTACTTACCGCATCCTTTTTAGTCCATACATGTGTTCCTGTCGTGCAGCCTTCTTGAGCTAAAAATGTATTGAAGTCAGACGTTTTTCTTTTACAACAGCTCCAATACTTCATCCTTGAAAGTTCACAAAGTAATTAACAAACAATATTTAGGGCACTATTTACTGTGAGTACTTAAGATCCTTTCTCTGTGCAACATTACTGTTAATTTAGTATACCCTCTTCAAGCATTGCCATTTTTGACTGAAGGAGAAATACAGAATGAAAACAAGGTAACACCTACACGGCATCTACAAAGAAAGCAGGAACACATAATAGGAGAATTAAAAAAAATAATTAAAAGTTAACTGAGTAATACTAACCCTTCATGGAATATAGGTACACCAGAATGGTATATACATACTTCTTCTGCGCTGTGTGGTCCTTCGTACGTCTAGTAGAAGGAAGCATTTAAAGTGTATTATTGTTACAGGATGTGGACCAAAGGAAAAAGCAAAACAAAACACAACCCACAACAGAAACACTGAACAAAGTGCTACAAAGCTTTTGGTAAATAATCTAAATCTAATAACTTGCCCTCATTTTCAAAATAGCCATTCAGCCTTCATCCACAAGAGATTCCCCAGTCCTTTTAAGGAGCTATCCTTTGTATTAGCTGAATGACGTACATCAGTGGTGACATCATTCATGCTCATAAAGGTCACTTTTGCTCCTCAGAGATATCTTTAAAAATTCTCTGAATATTCAGAGAAAACTTATTTAAATGGAAAATAAATTAAAATTATCATTTGGAACAGACATGGATTCTCAAAAGGAAGTAAATGAAACAATATACAATGCTGAATATCATCAGCGCAACGGAAAATAAATTAAAATTATCATTTGGAACAGACATGGATTCTCAAAAGGAAGTAAATGAAACAATATACAATGCTGAATATCATCAGCGCTTCCTAACACAAGCAAGAGACTGCTATAAGTTTCCCCCCACCGGAGTCCCAGCAGAAAATGCAAAATCTGTCAGATTAAATACCATTTTATTTCTACTGTCCTGTTCTGTACAACACAAGGGCGTCAGTGTAAAAAACTTTCAGTTTAAATGACGATGTAATACATGGATTAATTTTGGTGCTTGAGGTGTTAAAACATTTTCTTTGTGGATCATTCTGGCAGGAAGTGTTAATTGATAAGATCTGAAGATGCTTTTGACCTATACACAGATTATCAAAAGCAATTCCAGTGTTATCAGTAAGCCACCTCCCACCAATACTTTTAACATATGAAGTTGATACACATCAGTATAATGGGTTTGGCAAGCTTACTAATTAGAAGACAGCTTTAAAAAAAAAAGTCATCTTAGATTTGCTACATCCACAGTACGAAACAGCCCACATTTCTCCATAATAAGGTGTGCTATCAAATGTGCATTAATTAAGCGTGATGGACTTTGTGCCACTTCCAACTCAATTTGTAGCACACAAAAAAAAACCACCCAAGAAAGGAAAACTAAACTGCACACTTAATAGTTTAAGAGTGGAACTGAACCACTTACTTTTGAACAGCCTGCATTTTTACATGCCGTCCCAATCTTGATTTCATCACTGTCCTCCTCTGTAAACAGAATATTATAGAAAATAGCAACTGAATTGTATAGTGTACTAAATATTTTGGTTTAATTGAGAATTAAAACGCAATGAGGAGTATATTAGAAAAAAAAAAAAAAGCCTCTCAAGCTATTTTCTCCATGGTGCTGAAGTCTGCCAGAAAGGTACAGAGAAACAGAAACTATGCAAACATTCCAAAAGCTGTATTTCCTACACATCAGATTCTAGGTTCTATACCTTTATACTGTTTTAAGTTGGGGGGGGGAGGGAGGGGGGCACCAGGGAAATGATGAAAAGGATTATTACAATCATACGGCAAGAGAAGAATCGCTCATCTTGTTTGGCTTTGTCAAATTAAGAAGGTAAAAGGTTCCAAACTGCTGTGTATAAATAAACACAAGGAAAGAATTTGGATACCAAATAGAAAGAAAAGCTAAATGACAATTTTGGCACCAGAACAAGAGTTTAAAATAGCCACAAATGTAGTTTGAAATTAGAAAGTGTTTCTTAAGGAGCAGCCTAGTTGTGGAAACAAATTCCAAATAAACTGTGAGGAAAAAAAAAAAAAAAAAAAAAAGAAAAAAAGGACGGGGGACACCCAA